AAGTAGCTGGAACTACAGGCATACACCATGCCCAATTAATTTTTTGATTTATTGTAGAGACGAGGTCTTGCCAAGTTACCCAGGCTGGTCTTGAACCCCTGGGCTGAGGCAGTCTTCTCACCTCAGCCTCCCAAAGTGCTGGGATTACAGGCTTGCGTCACAGCGCCTGGCTGAACCGTGTCTCTTAAATAGAACCAGTGTGTTCTGAGAACTTGCACTGAATGAGTGGGTCCCACCTGAAAGACAGTGGCGCCAGCAAGACTTAACACCCTTTGAGGCCAAGAGATTTATTAGAGCAGCGACTACAGAGAGAGGGAAGAGGGTCTGTAACCGCCTGGTAGGGAAGGGGGAGTGAGAGAGTGACGGCGAGAGAGGTCTGTATTTATTGATTTGGGAGGGGGTGGCCAGTGCTGTATTAGAGTCTTTATTGGAGGAGGCTATGAGGTAGTATTCCTATAGGGAGATAATATTTGTGCATAGGTTTAAGTTTTGCGCGTGCGGAAAAAGCAGGAGCTTAGGGCTTTTGTTGTCTTTGTTTGGTTCCATATAGTGTTTAGCGCCATCTCGGGAGATGCCCTTCTGACTGTTCCCTGTGCCTTTCACCACCATTCTAGCTGTTGACACACAGACCAAACACAGGGACTGTTTCTGGTGTGCGTGTGACACTTTATGTCTTAAGTATATGCTGTTAATACATTTATTTTTAATGGATTGAATAAACATTTGTCATCTTAACCACTTAAAAACCCTTCAACAAGTTTTTGAAACTTTTTTTTTTTCCGAGTTGGAGTCTCACTCTGTCGCCCAGACTGGAGTGCAGTGGCCGCTCCCGGCCACCGCAACCTCGACCTGCTGGGCTCCGGTGATCCTTCCTCCTCAGCCTTCCAAGTAGCTGGAACTACAGGCGCGCACTACCACGGCCTGGCTGATTTTTGATTTATTGTAGAGATGAGGTCTCGCCAAGTTGCAAAACTGATTACTGAGAGGTTGTCACCAAAACTAGGTAGTGTGCAGGTCTGTGTTTTAGGATCTTGCTTTCTTCTGCAGAGAAAACAATAGTGTAAACTTTCTCACCTTTGCTCATGGAAGGGAAAAAAATGGTACAGATAATAAAATAATGAATAATGTAAATAAAACTATTTAAATTTGCGATACTAGCTATCAGGTGACTTTCCTTTGGTAACTGATTTATCTTCCTAATTGTTTCTGTCGAGTTGAGAGAGTTCTTAATAATCATGGCGGTGCCCTTTAGTAACCTTGGAACAGTCTTTGAGTCATAAAATTTCCTAATTATAATTCATAGGCAAATAGAGTATTAAAATTAAGTTTGCATTTCTAGAATGTACCAACATGCTGGAGGAAAGGAGTCTGTGCACATTCTGGGTGGCTAGAGCAAACCAGACCAGGTTGAAAACAGTTGTGAGTGGTTCACACAGAGAATAACTGGTGATTGGATCTAAGTTTATCTGTTTTTTTAATGTAGTAAAATTCTCTTTATCATTTTTTTTGCAAGAAGTGTAAATAACAGTTTCTCTTGATTTTTTTTTTTTTCCCCTGCCAGCATTGGCAAAAGGACATATCTACTGTTGTGGATTTTTTTTCATTGTTTTCTTTTGTTTTTGAGAGGGAATCTTGCTCTGTCGCCCAGGCTGGAGTAGTGGCGAGTTATAGTTCACTGTAACCTCAACCCCTTGGGCTCAAGCGATCCTCCCACCTCGGACTCCTGAGTGACTGAGACCACAGGAACATAACACCACATCTAGCTAATTTTGGTTTTTTTTTTGAATTGGAGTCTCACACTGTCACCCAGACTGGAGTGCAGTGGCTGCTCCCGGCCACCTCAGCCTCGATCCGCTGGGCTCCAGCGATCCTTCCGCCTCAGCCTTCCAAGTAGCTGGAACTACAGGCATGCACTACCATGCCCAGCTAATTTAGGTTTTTTTTTTTTTTTTTTTTTTTTTTTTAAGACTAGGTCTCACTATGTTGCCCAGGCTGGTCTCTTACACCTGGGCTCAAACAATCATCTTGCCTCTGCCTCCCAAAGTGTTGGGATTGCAGGCATGAGCCACCATGCCTGGCCTGTTGTTTTTATAACAGCTAAATATGTTGAACAAAGAATTTTCATCTAAAAGTTTTTTGTTTTTGTTTTTTTGAGTAGGAGTCCTCCTGTCACTCAACTGGAGTGCAGTGGCATGCTCACGCCCACTGCAGCCTTGACCTGCTGGGCTCAGGCCATCCTTCTGCCTCAGCCTTTCAAGTAGCTGGAACCACAAGCATGCGCCACCACGCCCGGCTAATTTTTTGATTTATTGTAGAGGTGAGATCTTGCCATGTTGCTCAGGCAGGTCTTGAACTCCTGGGCTCAGGCATTGCTCTCTTCTCAGCCTCCCAAAGTGCTGGCATTACAGGCATGAGCCACCATGCCTGGCTTTCATCTAAAAGATTTAACAGCTGGGCTCAGTGGCTCAGCCTGTAATCCCACGCCTTCGGGAGGCTGAGGTGAGTGGATTGCCTGAGCCTGCGGGTTCGAGACCTGACAACTTGGTGAGACCTCATCTCTACAATAAATCAAAAATTAGCTGGGCGTGGTAGTGCACGCCTGTAGTTCCAGCTACATGGAAGGCTGAGGCGGAAGGATCGCCGGAGCCCAGCAGGTCGAGGTTGCGGTGGCCAGGAGCGACCACTGCACTCCAGTCTGGGCGACAGAGTGAGACTCCAACTCAAAAAAGAAAAAAAAAAAAGATTTAACAAAAAACGTTGAAGTTCTAAAATGTTAAATTAGCCTGGGTGTGGTCGCTCATACCCATAATCCTAGCATTCTGGGAGACTGAGTGGGAGGATTGCTTGAGCCGGGGAGTTTGAGACCAGCCTGGGCAATACAGCAAGACCTTATCTCTACAAAACAAATAAATAAATAAATAACGTTTTTAAACGTTTAAAAATAAAATGTTAAATTGTAGTCATAATTCCCGTTCATATATTGGGGAAATGATGAGCCGTGTGAATAAATCAGAAAATACCAGCAAATTGATGCTGTGATACTAGAAAATGGAGGAGGGACTGTGACTTTTGATAACATCATGAGAATAGCTCTGATACGAAGGGTGTTCCCTGAGTTTTTATTTACTTTGAAACGTGAATGTGAAGGTGTGACTAAACTTTTTGAGAGCTTTAGGTATGAGTCATCTTATTTTCTTGACAAATGTTAGTGTATATATTTGAGGAATGTGCTTTAGAAACTATTTTAATGAATTTTTAGAGGTAAGAGGTAGTTTTAGTGAGTTTTGATTTTAATTTATTCACAACCAGTGAGGGGTATGAATATAAGCAGTTGATCACCCAGTGAGGAGTTTGAGTATAAGCAACTTTTCAGAAAGCGGGAACTCTGGCCAGGCACGGTGGCTCACGCCTGTCACCCCAGCACTTTGGGAGACTGAAATGAGAGGATTGCCTGAGCTCAGGGGTTCAAGACCAACCTGGGCAACTTGGTGAGACCTCGTCTCTACAATAAATCAAAAAATTAACTGGGCGTTGTGGTGTGTGCCTGTGGTTCCAGCTACTTGAAAGGATGAGGTGGAAGGATTGCCTGAGCCCGACAGGTTGAGGTTGTGGTGGCCGTGAGTGTGCCACTGCACTCCAGCCTGGGCAACAGAGTGAGACTCTGACTCGAAAAGAAAAGAAAACAGGGACTCTGGATGTTTCATGGGGCCTTTGGGAAAAGCAGTCGGCACATTTGTAAACTGCTCCAATTATTATGACAGGGACCTCTGCGTGATGCTTAGGGCTGTCCCAGTAGTACATTAGTATTTCTTGTACTTATTTTTCTTCAGATCATAATTTGTTTTACATCAGCATTTCTTGCTAATAATAGATATTTAGAGGAAATGCGAGTTCAGTGGTTAAACTTATTTGGCAAACATTGAGTTGAATATTTTTTAAGAAGTCAACCATAGGACTTAACTGAGCCTTTGATCAGTTAATCACTGGTCTCCACAGTGATTCCCAAGAGGGTAATTAATAGTCATGTGGCAGTTCTCAAACTCCTGCGACTGGGATGCTTTTTGAGGAAGGCCTGTGAGCCTTTCTTCCGTCTCCGTGTTTGGGGGAGTGCTGCACTGGTCCCATGTACATCAGAAACCTGTTTAGTAGGGACCAGATGAGGCCCTGAGTGATTTGGCATTGGGAGAACAGAGGTGTGGGGAAGCCAGGCTGAGGACCAGGTGGGAAGGTGAATCCTAGGCATGATGGAGGCCATCTTCCTCCCCTGTGGTTGGGCCCTCAGTGCCTCCCTGAACTCCTCCTCCTCTCATCCACTGATTGGCAGGCCTCTGGAGCAGGCTAGGCATTGAGTCTCTAGGGCCTAGCCTGCCCGGTGCAAGCGCACACACACTGGTGTTGGTTGCTTGCTTGTGGGACATACATTTGTTGAGGCCCTAAAGCTTTTTTCTGCCTCAACACGGGGAAGCTGCTGCCGAGTGCTGGACCAATTTCTTATAGATGTGCTTCATCTGCAGCATTCCCGAACACCAGGAGCTCAAGTTCTGTGTATTTTACTGTTGATTGCTACCACATCCCATGAAATCCTAGTTGCTTTTCTAGGGGAGAACACTTAGATTTCCTTTGCTCTTAGTCAAAAAAAATGTGGGCACGTCTCAGGTCCCCCATGGCCTGAGGAGGAGAGTGTTGCCACTGAGTCTGAGCTCCAGTCAGAGCTGAGCTGAGTCACTGCAGAGCAGTCCCCAGTGAAGCCTGGGGACCCAGGGGTGGAGTCAAGCCAGCACGTCTTGGGGGGGTGGGCCCTTCACGATGCAGCGTGCAGGCACATTCTTAGGCCTTTCTAGGCTTTTTGTTATCTCCTGAGAATGAGACTTCTGTCAGTGGAATCGCTTCTTTATGAAAGGAAATACTTACTGTGCTTGTTAATTTTTCTATGGCACACATTTTCTAGTTGGGGCCTTCTGTAACTTTTTAAAAGCTTGATTTGTTTGTTATACTTACAGTTTGGAGCTGAATTTCGTCGGTTTTCGCTGGAAAGATCAAAACCTGGAAAATTTGAGGAGTTCTATGGCTTACTTCAGCATGTTCATAAGATCCCCAATGTTGACGTCTTAGTAGGCTACGCAGACATCCATGGAGACTTGCTGCCTATAAATAATGACGATAACTACCACAAAGCTGTTTCAACAGCCAATCCGCTGCTGAGGATTTTTATACAAAAGAAGGGTGAGTACCACTGTTTAGAAAAATTGTCTTTAAAACAGAAGTAGTGTAATTTCCCCGTTGATAGGATACCCAGACTTTGCCACAAACTTAGTGAGTAAACATTTTGTGTGAATCTTCTTACCGTGTTAACAAACAGGGAGGTTAAAACATTTGTGATATTGTTGGTTTACTATCTTTATACTTCACTAAGTATACTTTAGAACATTTGTGCTTTTAATTACTTTAATTTTGACCTCTTAGGTTTTTTTGTTGTTGTTGTTTGTTTTTGAGTTGGAGTCCCACTCGGTCACCCAGACTGGAGTGCAGCGGCCGCTCCCGGCCACCTCAGCCTCGCCTGCTGGGCACCGGCGATCCTTCCGCCTCAGCCTTCCGAGTAGCTGGAATTACAGGCAGGCGCTACCACGCCCGGCTGATTTTTTTGATTTATTGTAGAGATGAGGTCTCGCTGCCCAGGCGGGTCTCGAACCCGCGGGCTCAGGCCATCCACTCACCTCAGCCTCCCAAAGGCGCGGGATTACAGGCTGAGCCACCAAGCCCGACATGACCTCTTAGGTTTTTAAAAATAGGAATTAGGAATGTACTGAATCTTCACGTCATTGAATGGATTATTGTCCATTCAGAAAGATGTGAAGAGTCTGACTTTGGAGTCAGGAGCATTCTAACTTTTTGCAGCAGCCAGGTTTCAAGTGCTGTATCTGCCAGTTAGTAGACACCAGATACAAAGTCATGTCATCTTCTGAGCCTCAGTGTCTTTACCTATAGGATGGATGAAATGTCTCGTGACTTTGCTCAAATATGGAGTGAGCTAAGTGCAGCGCCCTGCCTTTCAGATGACCCCAGTCTGGGTTTTCTTTATTTTCCCTTTAGGATAGTTTTTACAGAAAGAGTGTAAGATTAAGTATCTGGAAAATGAGGTAGCAAGTCATTATTCTGGAGGGACGTGAACACAGATTTTAGTCTTCCAAAAAACTGTTTGAAATGACTACTTATTTGGCAAGCTTTTTTTTTTTTTTAAGTTGGAGTCTCACTGTTGCCCAGGGAGGAATGTGGCACATTCAGCAAACATTTTCAAGTGTACTTTGGGTCCTGAGACTTTTCTTTCTTAACACCATAGCCGTGTGTGTGTGTGTGTGTGTGTGTGTGTCTGTGTGTCTGTGTCTGCCTGCATGTGGGCAGGGTAGAATTCAGTTTGGTATGTACGGTCTATTCCTTTCTCTTTGGTAAATGAGGAGGTTTGAGGAGCCAGTGTTAGAGCACCAAGCCCGGTATCACTAAAGCCTTACAATGTAAACCAACCCAGAGAGTAGCCTGAAACAATGGGTCGGGATTATCCTCCAGGCAAAACTGTATTTCCAGTCAGTTGATAAGCACTGGACCGCTCCTAGGCCTTTGAAATTCCACTCATTGTGTATCTTTGCTTCTCTGGGTTTGGAGGAACCAGAGTCCACCAACAAAATAAACCTCGAGCATAACTTCTTTTTTTCTGAGTTGGAGTCTCACTCTGTCGCCCAGGCTGAAGTGCAGTGGCATGCTCACGGCTACTGCAGCCTCAACTTCCCGGGCTCAGGTGATCCTTCCACTTCAGCCTTCCAAGTAGCTGGAACCACAGGCATGCACCACCATACCCAGCTAATTTTTTGATTTACTGTAGAAATGAAGTCTTCCAAGTTGCCCAGACTGGTCTCAAACCTCTGAGCTCAGGCAGTCCTCTCACCTTGGCCTCCCAAAGTGCTGGGACTATAGGTGTGAGAGCCACCATACCCAGCCAAAGGATTACTTTTGTCTCTGTCACTTGACTATTTATAAAATACTTCCACACACAAATTAATTTTCCCAAAGACCTTTGCAGTGGTTGTCATAGATAACTAGCAGGCTGTGATGTCATCTACTGCAGTAGGCATCTAGATGTCTTGGGGTCACAGCCAGGAGCAGGCAGTGAAGAAGTGGGGGATCTGGAAACCACCGCAGTAGCGGGCCAGGAGGAAGGCAGCTGGAGAAGGTACTAGTGGGAACGCTTGCATCATCTCACTTATGGCGAGAGTCCAGCAACATTTCACTTATGGATTTGAGTCTCAAGCTGGGACAGTGCTCTAAACAAGCAGAGGTTGGAGGAGAGATTACTATGGGAAAGAAAATTCAGTTTTGTCTTAGGACAAATAATCTTACCAGTCCGAGGAGCTGAACTTGTCTTGCTGGAGACTGGAAATGGCAGCCTGGAGTTCAGGATGGAAACTCAGAGGTAGGCTAGACTTCCAGATTGGAAAAGTGAGAGTTCACGTTTGGTTGGAGACAGAGGACTACAGAGGTGAGGCTGGGGCTAGAGCCTTGGGAGCCGAGAGCGGCAGAGCCAGGAGGGGAAGAAGGGATTCCTGTAATTATGACTGAACAATAGGCCTCTCTTGTTAGCAATCAACGTTTTCATTAAAAATTTAGCTGCTGTTTGGAATGTGGATTCAAACATGGAATGAGGGTTTAAACTACTGCCATCTGACAAAACTGTTGTATTATCCCCTTGTTTGAAAGATTATGGGAGTTGGGTTATACCACCACATGTTTTTTTAATGGAATTGTAACACTTGCATAATCACAGAATTGATCCTAACATCTTTTTTTTTTTTTT